TTGTCTTATCTTATCTTATCTTATCTCAGTTTATCTTATATACTATATACTATCTCATGTTTATCTTATCTTATCTGAGCATATCCTACATTATGTTATCGTGTTGTTATTGTGTCTTATCTTATCTTGCCATATCTTATATCCTACCTTATCTTTTCTTATCCTATCTCCTTTTATCTTATCTTCTCTTGTCATCTCATTTCTTATCTTATCTTGTCTTATCTTGTCTTATCACCTTATTTTGCCCTATCTTATTGCATGTCATCTTATCTAGTCTCATTTAAAGTTATAATATAATGTGGTTAAAAGACCTAAATACCCACTCCGCAACCCTAATGCACTTAGGCTGAAACCTTGGTTCCTGAACCTCCTGACCTGTATGAGTCCGACAGACTCGCAGATTCAACCACCGTTAAGGGTTTAGGGCTTAGGGTTCAGGGTTTAGGCCTTGTTGTTGAGAGAGTGGCAAAGTCGAAGCACAAGCTGGGGGAAACCCCCTTAGGTTCAGGATTCTCGGGGGGTGGGGGGGGGGGGGTCAGGGCTTCAAGATAAGATGCAGCCCTAAACCCTAAACTCTAAAACAAAAAACCTCAAAACTAGTCTGAAGTGAGCAGAAGACCAAGTGCCTCGTGAGGTACTCGATGTCGCCTCATCAGAGGTCTATGCCTTGAAGCCACGCGGTCGCGACGAGAGCCACAAATTCCACCCAACTTAGGCGCCAGATCAAGAACTGAAGGAGAAGGAATGTTCAGCAAGATCGTGTCCTCTCTGATTATACTCGGTTTAGGGTTCAGGGTTTAGGGTTTAGGGTTTAGGGTTTAGGGTTCAGGGTTTAGGGTTTAGGGTTTAGGGTTTAGGGTTTAGGGTCTCGCTACAGCTCAAAGCTGCTCCCCTGCTGCTCTCTGGCTCAGGGATTTCTGGGCCTAGGCGTGAAGGCAAATTCTTGGATTCGTTTATTTCGGTGAGTAGCTACCTGTAAGGCATGCAATATCTACCTCCTACTGGCAGGATGCTTCTTGAACGCTCCTGACATTTGGCGCGGGCTTTTAAACAACCACTTAAAATTCTGCAGCCCTATTCCGACACCCTAAAAAGTTAAACTTCCAACGCCCTTCTATGAGGTCACGGTTTAGGAGTAGGGATCTGATCGCTGAACTTTGCACTAGGTTGCAGCGCCGCGACCGGGCATCCAAGTTTGCCATCCGAGAAGCCAAAGCACTCCACAGGCCGCAGTGCTTGGGGGTTTACAGCTCGTGGGCGTGGGCGTGGGCTTCAGAGGGCCTGTAGGCTGCAGAGGATTCACAACGTTTTCGGCTTTTGGCTGGGATTTGGATGATGCCGGGTTCCCGCACACAGACCATCAACACCCATGGCTTCTTTAACAAGTCTGGCCGAACCTCCTGCAACGTGGGTTCACAGCGTAAGACAAGAGATGGAGAAAAGTGTTGCACAAACTTTGCAGCAGTTTGCCCCTTTGTTCGGCTGTCCAAAGTGTAGTCCAACCAGCACTATGCTCCGGCCCAAGAAGTAACATCTTTTCTCTCTGCGATGCACAAACTTATACGGAAAACTCCCTAAATCCTTCACTACACTTCCCTACATCATAAACTTATGTACACAAGAGTAGTGCTAATTTTGAGAGGCATGAAGCGGGGCTCTAAACCCAATCGCGGACCATCACGAACTGCGAACCCCAGACCTTAAACATCCTTAAATTCTACAACCTGAGTTTTCAGCCTTGCATGTTGAACGCTTGCTTATGGCCATTGAGGCTTTAATCTCACACCATTGGTGCCTAAACCCTACACCTCTTGAGCCCTAAGTCCCCCACAAACACAGGGGTCCGAAGAGCTCGCCATAAATTCCTTGTATAGTCCCTGTTGTGATGCTACAACGGAAATTGAAAGCCCTATGCTCATCATTGACGGCCCCGCAAATCAGATCCTGTAGAACCCCACAAAAACACCCAACGAATCCTAGAACGATCTATGATCTACTCAAAAAGGCCCTCTAAAGTCCACGTTTAAATAAAATGCTACAACAGCCTACTAAGACAACCCTCTAAAGTCTTCTTTCAACCAAAATCCTACAGCAACCTATTACAAGAGGACTCCAGTCTGAACTGTTCACTTTACATAAGGTAACGGGCCCGGGCCACCCGTGGAAAACGACGGAAGCGAAGCTGGGGCCCCTGGCAGGTCCAGCCACGCCTTCATCGTCAGGCCGTGAGTTGCTATATACCTAAACCCTCTAAACCCTAAACCCTAAAACCCTAAACCCTAAACCCTAAACCCTAAACCCTAAACCCTAAACCCTATAGAGTTCTGTGAGGGTTCAGGGTTTAGAGTTTTGAGTTTTTTTTTTTGTTGGAGGCTCTTTTGGCTCTAGAACGTTATCTAAAAGGGCAACTAGCTGGAGGGGTAGCTAGAAGGGTTCTCTAGACCGTTTATGGTTTTGGTTTAGGGTTTAGGGTTTAGGGTTTAGGGTTTCGGGTTTAGGGTTTAGGGTTCGAGTTCTGGGTAGCTCTACGGGTACTAGCAGGGTTACCACAAGGCTTCTATGAGTCTCTGATTGGAAGGGGCAGAGTTGAGGCCTTCGGGCAAATCCTCGCAGAAACTCAGCTCGGGTTTGTTTGGCTTTCAGTTGCACTTGGTTTAGGGTTTAGGGTTTTAGGGTTTATTTGAGGTTTTAGGGTTTTTAGTTTTTAGGGTTTAGGGTTTTAGGGTTTTAGGGTTTTAGGGTTTTAGGGTTGGGTTTCGGGTACAGGCCTTAGGGTTTCGGGTTTAGGGCGCCTCACACTGCCCATGGCTACCACGGTAGCGACAGAATCTCAGCTCTAAAGCCGAAACTTTCGTAAAGATTCTTCCTGTAAGAGCAGCAATGTAGGAGCCTTAATAATTACCTATACTTTTTTGGGGGCTCCTTATTATAATTTTAGTATAATGGGCCTCAACACCTTATTATCCTTAAGGCTCCTATATTGGATACTATTCCTACAGCTTTCGAAACTCGAGTTCAGCCCGTCTGCCTGGATGTCTCCTAGTATGACAACCTCCTGTGGTGGAGGCTAATTCACATTTTCCAGACGCAGTCCTACTACGCGCTGCTGATGGAGCTTTGTCGCTGCCTTGGAAATGCCGTAAGGGACATCTGCACCAACTGTACCAGGGAAACCCTGTACAGGGCGATATCACCCAACATTCTCTAACCAGACCTGCTGATAATGCCGTGTTCGTGGCCCGAGCTAGAGCAGTGTGGACCGCGAAGTGTGAATGAAGTATCCAGTCAACAGAAGACTTTGCAACGATTGCATGCCCAAACAGGGCTCCGCGCTTGGGTAGGGCAGCCTCTGGGCATTCAATTGCATAGTCCACATCTTTGTGAAACGTGTGTGAGAGCCATGGGCAATGTGTGCCAGTGTTGTGGAGCACGAGAAAAGGATCCATCCTTGCTGCCAGACTACGCCTCGGGTGGCAACTCTCAGCATGGCTTTGCCCTCGCTAAGAACGACCGAGTGCGCATGGAAGATGCTGTGTCCGTCAGCGACAATATTGCAGGACACGGCTGCTTCGCTGTGTTCGATGGTCACGGAGGCGAGAAGGCCACTGTACTTGCCAAGCAGCTCCTGCCACGGCAACTGGAAAAGCATCTCGAACAAGGGAGCAGCAGGGAGGAAGCCGCGCGTCAAGCGTTCGCAGGTATGGACGACCTAATGCAGAAGGAGCTGAAAGAGGAAGCTAAAGTATTCACAGCCGGCACTTCGTCCGGAACAGTTGCCTGCATTGCGCTCCTTCAGGCAGACGAGCTCGTCCTTTTGAACCTGGGGGACTGCAGGGCAGTGGTGTGCGAGAACGGAAAGGTTGGCACAACCACACGAGACCACCACCCCGAGAGAAATGCCCAAGAGAAGCAGCGCTTGGAGGAGCTCGGCGTCCGCATCGAGGGGGGCTACGTGGATGGAAAGGTGCAAGTGTCTCGTGCCCTCGGGGACATTGTGGACAAGACGGGACAAAAGATCCTGGGTCTCAGCAACACGCCAGAGGTGACCAGCATCGAAGTCAAGAAGAC